AGGACCTTGGGCAGATCCTTGGTTTCGGAAGTGTGGAGTATGATGACTTCACCTACTGCGGGAAGCACATTCGACAGCATGATGATGGTTCCATCTCCATCTCCATGATTGAGTACCACAGCAACCTACAGCCTGTCTCCATAGCAGTGCACCGACGTGCACAGACTTCGGCAGAGCTCAATAACAGCGAGCGTCGGCAGCTCAGGGCAATCCTGGGATCTTTGCAGTGGCTGGTGGCACAGCTGAGGTTTGATTTGGCATATCACCTGAGCGTGTTGCAGGGTGAGAAGCCGACTGTGCAGACCCTCATGCGTGCCAATGCATTGCTCAAGCGCTTCAAGAAACACTCACAGTTTGAGTTGAGGTTTCGACCTTTTGGAGCAATGGGGCATAATGGTGGTGACCGACTCTTCCTTGGGTAACACCAACAAGGATGGTGGTGATTCTGGCAACATCCTGGAGAAGATCTACTCCCAGAGTTGCTACTATGTCCTGGTCGCTGACAGCGACCTGTTGGCTGGAAGAGAAGGGAGCTTTTGTGTCCTTGACTCTAGGAGTCACCGCCTGAGCCGTGTTTGCCGCTCGACGTTTGCAGCTGAGCTCTTAGGAGCAGAAGAGGGCATGGACGCTGGCATGTTCTGCCGTGGCCTGCTGGCCATCTTTAAGGGCTTCCCAGCCCAAGAGAGGATGCAGGATGAGATCCTGGAGGCTGTTCCTTTCGTGCAGATCACTGACGCGAAAGACCTCTTTGACAAGGGGAACAGTGACACTGCCACATATGGAGCCCAGAAGTCCCTTGGCTTCACCATTGGTTGGATCCGCGCCACGTTGGCTCGGGCCTGCACGTTGAAGTGGACCAGCACAAGCAATATGTTTGTGGATTGTGGGACAAAGGACATGGATGAGTCCTACCTGCACCGCATCCTAGCTTCTGGTCGTTGGTGCTACACGTTCAACAAAGCCTATGTGAAGCAAGGGAAGCCAAGCAGAAAGCAGCTTGCTTTGAGCTCTTCCTCTGCAGCCTTGGACGGAGAGCCGCTGAATGAGGCTTTGCCAGTTTTCGCCTTCCTCCAACAGCTTGCTGAGAGTCCCGGATGGCACCACAAGGGTGAGGTTGTGACCCATGTAGCTCACCATGCTGGGTCCTATAGGAGCCCCATCGGGAGATATGAGATTGAAAAGTACCCCATCCGAACGACGTATGCTCGATTTGACCTGGACACCGGAATCTCCCATTGGCGGATCCTAGAGGATCATGTCAAGATGAGGTCATTGACCAACCGTCAAGCGCTCCTTTCAACTCCGGCTCGAGTGTTGATTTCCATTTTTACCGGATACTCATGCCAACAAGAAGATAGAGCAGCTGTGAAAGTGAGCAATTGACATGGAATCCGTTGTGCCTTGAGAATGGCCACATGTTCGCCGGTCATTTTTCTCTCAAAGGCCTAAAACCATTTAGACTACGCGACTAGCCTTTCGCCGGAAAACCATTTGCTTTGCTGGCTCGTTGTGCGACGGCCTGCTACAATAGTAGTAAGGCCGGGAGCTACTAGTAGCTTCATTGCTTCCAGTAGCGATGCCAGGAGCCTCTAAGTAGCTCCAAATGTTGAGCTGGATTTCTTCTTGCAAGGTGAACACTGAGTTGTGCAAGCACGTACAATTTTGTTTGCACAACTCGAGTTCCAACTGGCACGTCAAGCATCGTCAAGCCATGTTTTGTTTCTTCAGGGTTTTGTCGTTCCCCAGGCAGAGTGCTGTGGTGGGAAGACTTAGGGGACAAGCACAAAGCACTCTTTTTGTATTTTACTTGTACGATGGAGTTCTTTGTTTCAGCATGTTTCAGCATTGTTCCTTGACACGGTTCTTTCAAGCTGGGTTTTTCCGCTTCCGACATGAGGCATTCTGGCCAAAGCTCCTGAATGATGAAGAAGTTGCTCCACCACCCAGTCAAGTTGCGCAATCAAGCCATGAATTAAGCCAATTTGTTGGCAAGTTGCCAAGGTCAAAGTATTAGCCTTCAGCGGCTTGGCAGACTCACAAAGCCAGTGATGCGCCCAGAATCGCCCAGATGTGAGGATTTGGCCATGAACGCAGCGAACGCATGAGAAGTCATGGATTCTGCAGTGGTTGGTCGCCTGAATGAAAAGATGTGAAGTGATAGCAGGCACAAAGTGATCAGGGTACAAATAAGATGAGCAAATCAGAATGTAGCGGTATGTGAACATGTGCTCCTGAAATGAGAATGGGCATTGCTCTCAAAAGGCTTGTGCAGTGGAGCATTGACATTACCTCGTGATACTTCGTGTTTAATGGAATTGTCCTGGGAAGCTTTGGGCCTTGGGTCATGTAGGGAAGGAAGGAGTTTGAGAATAACATAGCTTCATCAGAACATTCCTCATGAGGTGGTCGACTTGCTACTTGCAAGCGCGGGGTCAGAAGCCAAGCCAATGGGTTTAGGGATCGCTCCTTAGGGGCAGTGTGCTGAGGCCTTTCATCAGCTATGGCCTGGAAACACGGCTCTATATTCTGCTTCGCTCGTGTTTTCATGTGCTGTGGGAAAGAACATCAAAAACAGTATGGATCAGTTTGTCGCTAAAGCTGTGAAGATTGAGGATCCTCCTGTTCCAACAGATTCGTAGGTATTTTGTGAACGAGCCAAGGTGCGAATACTCCAGAAGCTCAAGGATCTTGCTGTCGGGAGCCCTACGTTCGACGGGCCAGTCGGGCCCTGCACCAGACACTCAGTTCTTGAGCCCCTAGTAGCGTTGTTGTTACCTCTGTAGTAAGGCACTTGTTACTAGAAGCGATGCACTTGTTACTACTAGTAAGGCACTTTGTTACTAGTAGCGTGCTTTGCCCAACAGTTATCATGACCGCTGCCAAATATTGCCAAATCAAAAATTTGCGTGAAAGCGTTGTTTTAAGCTTTGCTGTAGATACACTTGTTCTCCAAATCCAGGTCTTTGTGGACCGCCAAGAAGGTGGCTGGAATCGGCTTCAGGGGAGTCAAGCACAAAGGCGATAGCTGCTCCTGCTTGAAAGCAACAGCGCATGAAAGTTGCAAGGATTTGCAAGGTCATTTCCAGCACCTGCTGAGCATTGTTCTTCTCCGAAGCTTCAAAAGCGATGTTGTTTTTGTTAGTACTTGTGTTCAAGCAGGCTGCGGTCTCGTTGTGTGCGACCCTCAGTTGCACTTGAGCATGGCTTATGGCGACCCTCAGTGACGTGTTCAAGGATGTTGGGACCAAGGTGGTATAGCATTCCTCGGTTCACCGGGATGCTACTAGTAACAAGTGCCACGCTAGTAGTAACAAGTGCCTTACTAGTAGTAACTAGAAGCTACTAGAAACAAGTGCCTTACTACTAGTAACAATAAGAATCTGATTCGAATATGCGTTTTCGGATCCCCCGGGATCCCGGCGAAGGCGGCAGCGCCCTGGCGCTCTTGCCATCAGCCGAGCGCGGTCCGTGAGGTCGATGTTAGGGACGGCGCAAATGCTCCGCATGTCCAAGGAGATTCGTGCAGAATGGGTCGCGGAAGTGGCCCCTGCAACTCAGGCAGCGCCTAATTACATAATCCTAAAATATCCTAAAACCCTAAACCCTATGGCCTCCGACCTAATAGCGATGGCCTCCAACCATCCCACCCAATTGGTGCCACTCTCTCTTTGTTTTGCTTTTTGGTCACAGATGTCTTCGTGCATGCCCCCGTGGAAGATCCGGCCGGGCATCACCTGGATTTCCTGAACATTCACCACGTCATGGCATGATTAACAGGGATTCCTGCCAAGACCTTTCAACACCATCACTGCCGATGCGAGTCTGACTCACTTCAGGAAGCTGCGTCAAGCAAGTTGTTCAGAGCCCGACCAACGTTGGAACACCATCGCGAAGGCATTGATCAGGATATGAAGGAAAAGCATCCAGTTCACCATCTGGTCAAATCAGCCAGGAAGACTATAGACTGCTTGAATTTCGACACCCTCCAAATCATATAGTGTGGGCAAAGTCGGACAAAAAGCAGTGAAAGGACCTTGTTTCCAAACCTGGCGACAAACTCACTACCTAGCACCGATCCCCTCAAAAGGAAGAGGCAGATGAATGGGGCCTAACCATGTTGAGCAAGCACGCATCGATTGCAGAACAAGGCGCGGGCGAATCCTTTCAACATTTGCCGTGCCTCGCCCTAGCACGCGCATCGGCATTCAGCTCGCACGCTTTGGTTTTCCCTCCAGTTCCAAGTCTCACGTCGTGGATTTGTTGCTACTTCTGTTTTTGCTGCTACTAGTAAGGCACTTGTTTCTAATAGCTTCTTGTTACTACTAGCTTGGTTAGCTGCTGCATGCTGCTTCTGTTTCTCTTCCTGTTGTTGCGCCATTCCTGCTAGAGTGGCCGTTGTTGAAGTTGTCGTTCTGCAGGTCCGCTCGGCGCGGTTTTGTGGAAACACGATTTCGGATGTGTTGCCGGCTTGGTGCCTTACTAGTAGAAGCAAGAAGCTATTAGTAGTTCCTGGCATTACTAGTAACCAGAAGCTACTAGTAACAAGGGAAGATCTTACACTATATTAGTTAAGCTTGTTCGGTTTTTCTCCTAGGTTGAGCATCATGTGGTCACCACTGGTGGGGCTCTGCCAGTGCCCTGTCGCAAAGTTGCTTAGCTCATGCCTTGAAACGCCTGGAGCTGGAAGACGAGAAAGCGGACAATCTGACAATCCAAACTGTTCAACGCAGTGAAATCCCACATCAATCTTTGGTTCAGCAACGTTCAGCAAACCTTTGGTCCATGTCGAGTCCACCCTATCTTCAAGGATCACCAGGCAGTTTTTGCCAAGCCCAATTCTAGCAAACATGTTGCTGTAAACGCTGTGCTCTCTCCCTTGCACAAAGGACCCCAGCCATTTTGATGGTGGCTCACTGTTCACAATTGCGCAGAGCTCAGCTCTTGCTAGACTTCAGTCAAGCTATGTTCATGTTCAGCACGCAGAATCAAGTAAGGATGTGATGCTGAGTGCACCCGGAGTCGACTTTCAAGGCCTGCACTATTTCAGCTTTTCTGTGGCTTAGACAGCCCTTGGTGGCACCTAAGGCTCAAGGTTGGGTGTTGTTTGGCATGGAGGTGGAACATAGTGTGTTGCACGGTAAGTACAGAACGCACTTTGGTTGCCTCCATTCAGCATTGCCAGGTGGTGACTTTTGTACCCTTGAAAGCTCGACTCTCGGGAAAGTGCAGCCCAAGGAGTTGAACTAGGTATATATTTTTTGTTTTTGACATTTGTACAGCTCGTGTAGTCTACAGGCTCGTAGCTAGTTTCGTAGCTGCTTCAATGTTCGCAGACGGTGCAACCCAGAATGTCAACACACAGTCACATGCATGTGTTTTGAAACACATTCCCTGTGATCTGGCTGGATGGTGTTTACACGGGTTACACGCATGAATGTGTGGAATTTGGTGGGCACTTGGACTTTTTGAACCTGTTATATAGTAGCTTCTTGTTACTAGTAGCGATGCCAGGAGCCCCTAGTAGCTTCTTGCTCCTAGTAGTATGGCCAGGAGCCCCTAGTAGCTTCTTGTTCCTAGTTATATAATTGTGGCAGAGCACCTTCATGTTTGTAAACCTTTTGACGCTTGTCAATATGAGATCATGGAATTCGATCCAGAACGCTGGGTCTTACATATGCATGTTGCTGGCCAAGGTGATGACACCCTAGTAGCTTCTTGT